TTTGCAATGACTCAGAGTTGTAAAACTTACATTGTATCTTACTTGGGGTCACACGAGTATAAAGTTTATATTCAAGATCACATGAATATAAAAATTGTACCTTACTCAAAGTTACGTAAGTATATAAGTTGTACCTTATTTGAGGTAAGACGAATATAAAAAATGTACCTTAATCAAGTCACACAAGTTATAAAAATTATAACTTAATTGGGGTCACATAAATATAAAAGTTGTACCTTACTCGGGGTTACATGAGTTATACATATTTTACTTCATGTCACATGAGTTATATATATCTTAGTTATGTATACGAGTTATCAAAATTACATTTATCTTACCCGTGGTTACATGAGTTATACATATCATACTTAGGTATATGAGTTATTAAAACCTACATCTACCTTACTCGAGGTCACACGAGTATACATATCTTATTTAGGTATAAAAGTTATCAAAATATGCATCTTAAAAACTATAATCGGAGTCATGAGTCTAACATCAACATAATTTACTACCAGTTGCACAGTTTATGAATCAAACAATTTGTAACTTTATAATTAGTACATGCACATAACAAATGTAAATCATTTTCCAAGTTAACAAAGTTTTATTTTGGCTTAAGGGAGAGAGAGTTTCCTCTCAAAATATCATTCAAAGTCATTTGGTCTTTATAATACGATATTCTTAAGCTTGGGAACCATACAAAGCTCTTCTCTTATTTTCCTAAAGTTTTTAACTCATTATCTTTAAATGACAAATAAATAGGTTTTAGTGACTAAATCTCATGAATATATCTCAATCTAGCCAAATAATGGTTAATTGGATAAATATGTTCAAATTGAACACTACTTATTTAAATGATAAAATAATTAACTCAACCTTAAACTCATTTTATCTCTATTTCTAAATGAATTCGACCTCCATGCTTGAAGAGCTTGTGTATTAAAATCATTTTATTTATTTAATTATCTTGTTACACGTTATCTTATTAATTATCCTTTATATGTTATTATTTTGTATAATATCTTACATTGTTCATTATGTTTTTGGCTATCAATTATTATCGTTTTGATTTGATATAAAGAGACTCGAGAGTAAATCTCACCTTATCGCTTATTCTCAATCTTTTCTAAAAGTTGATTTGAGAGTCGAAATATCTTTTATAGGTGAATCTTTGTTCTTTCTAAAAGAAGTTATCTTCAATCTTTTTGAAGTCACAAATCAAAATCTTATTCACCGATCTCCCCACGTCCCGACCTTTCCAAATTCGATAAGAACAATAAAAAAAATCACTATAATAAATTATTGTTTGCCATTATTCTAGAAAATAATTTATTTATTACTTATTTGGACAAAAAAATCACCCTAACAAATTATTGTTTACCATTGTTCTATAAAAAAAATAATAAATTATTGTTTACAATTATTCTAGAAATTTTTTTGTGAAACTCAAAATTAAAGTATGAATGTGTATTAGTAATCGTTAATGGGAAATTTGAGTGCACATTTATATTTATATTTATTTTGTAATATTAATAATAAAAATTTATAAAAAAATTATTCGTATTAGTTTTTTTTATCCATTAGCATATGTTTTGTCATTCAATACTTTTAAAAATATATATTGTAATAATAATAATAATAATAATAATAATAATAATAATAATAATAATAAACATTTATACAAAAATTATTCGTATTAGTTTATTTTATCCATTAGATATGTTTTGTCATTCGATATTTTTAAAAATATTTCAATATTATTGTGGTACTCAAAATTTTATAAAAAATATTATACATTTTTAAATTCATCTCACATTTTATTTACTTTAATTTTCATATTTGAATCCAAAATGTGATGTAAAATAAAAATTTGAATAAACTCCGACGAAATTTTATGTTATAATTACATAAGGTTAAAATAAGCATATTATTAAAGTATATAATTGAGAAAATATAGAAAAATAACTAGATAATAAATTTGGTACACCTCCTTTATTTGTTGTCATTCATAAGATGCAAATAAATCATGTAATTAACGAAATAATAAAAATTAATTGAAAAATAATTGATATTGATGAATTTTAATATTGATAGTTTTACACTATCAAAACATTGGGTTAAGCATAAAATTAATAATCATTGACAACGACTATCAAAACATGCACGATAATCCAAAATTCAAAAAAAGAAGCAAAAAGTCAACTCGAATATAGGTCAAGAAATCCTTCTGAGCATAATGTCAAGTCACCAAGTCAAATAGTGAGGAATCAGTCAAGGGAGAATGTTTAGGGATGGCAAAACAGGTCAGCCCGCCTCGTTTTGGCCCACCCCGTCTTTGGTCCGCCAAAAGCGGGACGGGGGCGGGCTGGGCCGTTATAGTCATGACGAGTTGTAGACCTTGACCCACCCCGTCAAGGGCGGGTTGGCTGGTGACCGCCATAATTTAGAAAAAAATAATTTATTTTTTAAAATAATTTATTTAATAAATTTAATAATAAGATTATTATTTGTTTGTCAATAATTCAATATATATATATTATTTCAATTTAATAATATAAATCAATACATTATTTTAAGAAATTATAATTTAGAACAATAATAAAATTTACATAATAATAAATAATAACAAATATATATATATATATATATATAATAAATAACGTTAAAACTTATAAAATTTATATTTTTTATATTGAAAAATTCAAATACCTATATTTTTTTATTTGATAAAACTTCATATTATTCTTGATTGAGTAATTCTTACACCTTTAATTCAAGTAATAAGAATAAAAATAATTAGTGCTTAGGATAAACAAGGAAAACATGAGAGAGAATGTTATGTTTCAGTAAGGAGAATATTTGCTCGAGAGTGAAACTTTTTTAATTCTCTTTTTAAAAATTTTAACTTTATATATTATCTTTATAATTAATTTTATTACAATAAAAATTTATTTTTTTATTAATTAGGCGAGCCGCGGGCTGGCCCGCCCCGTCCCCGCGGGTTGGCCCGACGGCTTGGCGTGGCGAGTCAAAACGGGCTGGTGGGCTGAAAACATCAACCCGCCCAGCCATATTATGGCGGGCCGGCCCGTCGAGCCTAGCCCGTTTTGCCATCCCTAAGAATGTTAGGCGCAAACACACTAATGAAGCAACTCTTGAACTCTCACCTCAAATCTCTCGTCAAGATCTTACAGTTGAGTTTTTTCCACCACATTACGAGGACCGGTCTTATGATAATACAACTCTCTATGATATAACTCGATCAATTCATACTATACATTAGCATAGAGGTTTCGAGTTAGGTTCACAACTAAAACTATGCATGAAACCACGTTTATGACTGTAGAAAGTGTGAAACAGAGATAATGTTAATCCATTCACAGTTTCATCAGTGATTCGTGAAAATATCAAATTTCATACTGATTTTATATTCAATCGTTATCTTACACGGAATACAAGTCACTTTACAATCAAGACTTTTGATTGATAGTTATTTTTATTTTTCTACCAAGATCTCTTGACGAGTTGTGTATCCGAGCAACTAATTATCCACATGAAGGATATTTTCATTTTTTACTTAACTCGTAAAATCAGATTAAACTATACTACAAGATAATTATAAATAAAATAGATTACATAAATCAATAACGAATTTTAACCAAAGAATAATAATTGATATGTATTCATAAGCACTACAACATGAAAAAAATCTAAAGATCAAATTCCAATATCTCAAATAAAAAGTTCCTCTTTAAAGTCAATTAAATAAAATTTAATTCTTAATAAAAATTAAAACTAACATAGTAAAACTTTGTCAAAGTTGTATATTGACATTTGTAAATATTTCAAATAATACAAGGATGTTTAATTTGAGGCGTGCGTGGACACATAAAGTGTTACACACTCACGCAACTATAAGATGCGAACGAGTTATGTATTTTATTCACACCTTTATTAACTTGATATTTTTTTCATTCCAAAAATACTTTAAAAAAAATGATATGATAAGTTTGATATAAAATGCAAAAAAATTATAAATATGCAAAAATTAAGGTCTAAACAATGAATTATGTAATCAATCCTAAGTAAAATACCACTTAATAATGAACTAAAATATTTCATATCAACAAACTTCTTTTGAGACGTTTGCAAAGTGCAAGATTTAAAGAAAAATCTTTATAAAAATTCTACATTTTATGTATCATATGATCTAGGTAAAAGTTTTATAAACATGATTCACAATCTTTGCGTTAGCAAATCTTTGTCTTAAGATCATTTGATTAAGATTATAGATACTCATGACCTAACATAAATAATCTTAAGTTAGGTCAATATACATAGTTTTATAGGCTGATTGTTTTTTAAATAATATTATCATATTAAAACATATAATTACTTTAGTATTTATATATCAAATCACTTCATCTAAATCTATAGCTTTTTTTTTCTTTTAAATCAAACCAAAATGATATATTGATATATTATGAGGCTGGACCAAACTTTATGGTTCATTGAAAAATGATAGATTGACCGTCTGTGTGTGTTTTTTCTCTTTTCAAAAGCTTTAAACGAAACTTACATAATGATTTTATAAATTTATATATGCTTTTGAGAAAGGTTTAAACGATATAATTTTTCATTTATACACAATGTTTGATCCTTTTTAATGTGTTTTTCGTTTTTCACAATGTATGTAAATATGTAATTTCGAGAATATATCTAACAAAAAAAATAAAATAAACAAAGGATGCGTATAAAGAAAAGCCAAGGTCAACAACTTCTATAGGTGATATCATAAGAAGTCAACAATATCAAATATACTTTTATAATTTATAAAATTATAAAGCATGCAAAAGCTAACAAGACAAATATGAATATATTCTCACTTGTAATATGAAAATAATTGATTCATATTTCTATTCAGATGAATCCATAGACCTAATTCATGTCTTAATGCTCAACACTTTCACTGTTCACCCTTTTTCATAATGAACAACTCAGGATGTAGTAGTCAATTCCGTTTCTGCAGCTACTGCATCCTTTGCAAATTTTTTGTATATGTCACTTTTATAAAACTTTTTGGTCCTCATCACAAAAATCAAAGAAGTTAACCCTGCGAAGAAAGAGATGCATGCCATTATCATCAAAGAGTGCTTATAACATTCAATTCCAATGCATGTCAACTCTGTGCCTTTCATCCACTCTTTGCCACTTTTTCTGAGTTGATTTTTTGCCTCTCGATCATAAAGGAAGCCAGTCACCCTAACATTCAACACATATGATCCAATAGGAATAACCATGAGGACACAATTTTGCAGGGTGGAAAAATATTTAAGACCAAAGAGTTCAGAAACAAGTGCATAGAGCATTGGCAATAATACGCCAAAAGCGAATCCAATTATCACTGATGCAAAATAGACCGAACCGGGTGTTGGGAACACAATAAGAAGGTGTCCAATGCATGTAAGGAAATGAGAAAAGGCCAACAACATGGGACGAGGAACTTTGTACTTTCGAAGCAAAATTTCTGATCCAAAACCAGACAGGACCCTCCCAAAGTAATTCCAAATGCTTACTAGTGACACAAATGATTTTACTGTATTTCCAGTGTATCCTAGTGACTTGCTAATTTGTCCCAAATTGTCCACCACTGTTACGTTTGTTCCATAGCCAGCAAATGACGAAATCAACAATAACAACATGTCAATACTGATAAGTGCTTGTAGAATGGTGTGATCCTCTCCTCTTTCAGGTTTGTTGAATATGTTGGCAAACCAAGACATATTTGGGTCTATGGCTTTTTCTTTTGGAGGGGGTGGTGATTCTGCAGGTTCAACTATTTGTGGTTTCTCTATGACCACCCCATTTATAGTACGTGCAAGTTTTTCCTTGCTGTTCCACAATGATAACTCTTGTCTGATAGTAATAAACAAAGGGAGGATCAGAAGAATACATACCAGAGTTGCACTCCCAGCATAAGCTGCTTTAGAAAAAACAGTCTGTTTCTGAACAATGATCATTACCATGATGAATATTGCAAGTGCAATTGATGCAAATAAAAATTGGTTGATTAACTTTCCCTCATTGGGTTGCCTAGTTTCAACCTTCATGAATCGAATTACACATGCAAATATTGCTGGTATAGCAGCAGGGAGCCATGCAATGAGAAGGATGAGAGACTCAGAATCATTCCCATAAATGGCCAGGTAAAGTTGTGTTACAATGGCTCCACTGAGACCAAGGTAACCTTTCAACAAACCTAATATTGTGCCCCTACTTTCTGGAAAGTTTTTTACACAAGTGGTTATTACTCCAGTGTTGGCAAAGTTTTGAGAACTGACACCAATTGCGATGTAAAGACAAACCTGCCAAACATGTGGCTTTGATATTTTGCCAGTGACCACAAGCCAAATCATGAAATAGCCAGCAAAGTTAAGGCATGAGCCTAGAAGGAGTACCAACCATGGAGGGGTAATCTCTCCAATGAGACCAATAGGAGCACCAAAATTTCCACCAAGGTCCTTGAAGAACCCCAAAAGGTTGAGTGTGCTTTGATCATAACCTTGAGTAGATTTGATTACTTCAGAGTATGATCCAAATACATAGCTACCACCAGATCCTCCCATGATAAAGAAAGAGGCACACAGCATAAACCATCGACCTTTTATTACTTGTGCTACGAACTTGACAACACTAAATCTCCTGCTACTGTTGTCGGCGGGTATGGTGGTCATTTTTGTATCTGAATACGCTTTCTTAGAGATAATGAATGAACCCAAAAGAAATAAGATGTAAAAATATCACTAATAAGTGTCTATTTATAAATAAACATGAGTTGTGGATAAAATCTACACCTCATTTTTTAGTGGATTAGGATAAGTTTAAAAAATAAGGACTATCTTTTTAACAACATAATAAAAACTCATGTACATCCAATCAATAAAAAAATTATAAAAAAGTAACAAAAAGATTATAATATATTAGATTTACTTTAAAGTCTTAAATACTATCAAAGAAAAATCATCTAGGAATACCGATCAACATTAAATATTAACTAAATACATACATTTTTATTATATATTGTATTAAATAATGTGCTACATTTACTATATAATATTAATTATTAAATGCGTTTATTAATATTCAGTTTGAAATAGAAAAATCTTTCTATCACAAATAATTATTAATACAAGTTACAAGATTGATAAAAAAGAAATAAATTAATAATATATGATAACTTTCTTTATGAATAATTATTAATGTGATTTTTAAGATAATATATATATATATATATATATATATATATATATATATATATATATATATAATTGGGTTTGTTCTCTAAAAAAATTAAAATTTGGATAAAGATGTAAATAAAATATTCTCTAAAGCCAATATTCTAAAAGTATTGTATTTTTATTGGACTTTGTCTAAATATTTTTCGAATTCTTGATTTTAAATAAAATAAGTTAAATTAATTTATTAAAGAGACAAAACTTGATAGTTCTAACTTTATAGTTTCGGCTAAGTGTTTACACTTGTTTCATTTCAAATGTAAAATCAAACATAACAAATTTGTTTAGTTTAAATTTAATATAAAATTTAAATCCAACATTAATTTATGCAATGCATTAGTTATTACGACTTTTATTGTTACGATGGAGTTTGGTAACTATATTTTTGGTAACTATTTCCTTTTTATTATATTTTTTTCTCTTAATTTATGTATGAATGTTTTTCAATTACAACACAGCAAAACGCGTTTTTGTATTGGGCCAGGAGTCCAGAAGCAAAAAGGAGAAAGTGAACAAGAACAGACCCCAAATTAACCAATTGTTGGAAAACAAACTTTCCCTTAAAAGGCCATGCCTAAATGAAAATTAAAATCCTTTGGCAGTAAACAAACAAATTAACATTCAGAAAATTATTTAATATTCATAATAAATTTTAAATTTTTATTTAATTTTTGAGTTTTAAATTTAAAATTTGAAAATGTCACCCCTTTTCAAGGTAAGGTAGCAAAATTATTTACAAACAAAGTTCTACTTTTAGCACAAGACTAGATAATCTTTATCATAAATGTTCACTGAAAATATAAATAAGAGAGAAGTAGAGAATATATAAGATCATTATATAACTTTCTTAAATAAATTTAATAAAATAGTATCATAAATTTAAGAAAATAGTCCCTTTTTAAAATAGAATAAAAGTTAATAAAGAATGATTGTTTACCAAAAACACAAGTTTTTGTAACATCGTAAGATCGTACACTGGGATTGACCTGCCTAGTACCAAAAGATTAAAGAAGTTTGTGACTAGATGACAAGGGAACAATTATTAAAGTTGAATTGAAAATTTAAACTAATTGTAAGAGTCTCAAGATAGTGAAATTTCTTGTTAAATAACTTTTGACTAGTACAAAAGTCATAACAACTATCTTGAAGATAAATTTGGTGAAATAAATATGTATTATGAAGATATATACTACCTTAACTTAGATAAAAAAATCCTATGAAGTTTCACTATTTCTTAGATGGAAGAAAAATAAAGTATTTTTTTAAGAGCTAGAGTCATTAGTGAGATACTACTCTAAGAGATATAATTTCTGATCATGTAAAGGTTTTCTCAGGTCAAACGGAGATTTGTCCTCAAGGGCAAAGACAAAAGGAGTTTGACTTTAAGACTCACCCATCGAGTAGGGATGAAAGTTAATCTTAATTATCTAATGATAGGGATAAAAATTGCTCTAAGAATAATATATTACTATTCTCCAATAGCACCTTGATGTCAACTCTAGTAACTGATTTTGTAGCTTACATTAGTATTTATGATTTTGGTCTCCTAAACTTAATAACTATTAAATATATCTACTTGTATATTTACGAATTTGACCTCTCATCCTTTCATATTTATTTATTATTTATTAATAATATATTATTTGGCTCCCTAAAGATAATAGTCAAGATCCACTTATAGACTCTTTACCACCTTAGGGCTATATTAGGTTCTAAGGATTAGGTTATTAGCTCATTAAAGTGATATATTAGCTTGATTGAAATGTCGTGAGACAATGTAATCTATTAGGAAAATCCAAGTGAGTCTAGGTCTCATATTAAGTAAGAACAAGGAAGTTGAACAACATATAAGAAAAAAAGTCCCATCACCCAATGTTTTAAGATTGATATTGTCTTTCCCCAGTGAATTCTCCCTTAAATGACTTAACACAATTCATGTGAACATTAGAGTATTGGAAGGATCAAGAAAGACACATCAATCCATGTGGACATTAGAGCATTGAGAGGATTGAGAAAGACACACCTTCGATGTGTCAATTATCATGTACATAGTAAACATCAAGTAGTTAAGGGTGAAAAGAATAACTATTAAAAATATTGAATAGTAAACCCACCCCAAGATGAGTGTTTTTAATTTCAACTTCCTCGAAGCATTTAGCATCACAAATGAGATAGATTTTATGCACCAATTAAAAGTGATACATACAGTTGAGACATCTTAACATTCATTAGACTTTAACCTTAATCCTATATGATTTGATTAATTCAATTAAACACTAGTTATCCATTTTCATTTTTCAAAATTTTGACATGATGAAAATAATCTCCCTAGAGACAAAGAAATGTAATAAACAAAAATTCTCTCAAGATAAGTGTGTGTGTGATGAAAAATCTATCTTAAGGTCAAAGTGTGATGAAAAATCTCTCTCGATGTTAGGAAAAAAATTTTAAGTTGACTAAAGATATAATAATATTATAGTACACAAGTGAGTGTATATCATTTTACTGACCCAATTTTATAATACTTTCTCATTTCTAACATGGTATAAGAGTTAACTCTAATGATGTTAAAACTATTGAAAAAATCTCCCCTTAAAGTGAGAGAATATGATAAAAAATGTTCTCTCAAGACGAGGAAGTACGATGAAATCTTAAATTGATTAGAAATACGATAACATTATAATATATAGGTAAATCATCATATTACTAAACAAATTTTATATAATTAAATTAGATACCTCTCAAAATTTCTAATACATAAAAAAAACTCAACACTTTTTATCAAATGAACAGAATAACAAAAATAACACCTCATATTAATAATTAGGTTTCATAATAAAATGTCAATATATTCATATTTATCTCATATCAATTTTTTATTTATTATTTAAGCTTACGGTTTCCTTAATACACAAGAACTAGACCACTTCATCTTGGTAGATTCTATTACAGTAATAATTAGTTGGAGAGGTCGTGTGAAATTCATTAAAAATATAAAGAAGTTAAATGTATATATAATAATTAAAGAGAATGTAAATAATTTTATTTGATAAATATATTGAATATTTATTTTAAAATTAGGTGAGAATGCAATTTTGTTGATATTTAAAAATATCATTAAAAACATGACAATAACTTTCTATAATTAAATCATTCCACTTTTTCATTTTTATAAATTGTGAATTTTAATTTTCATAATTTTCTATTTTGTGAATATATTAGTTTTAAATAAATAAAAAATGTGAGTATCATTTGATTAAAAGTATAAAAGGGATTAATTTTATATTTAAAACAAATGAATGAGAATATATTTGGATAAAAATTAGAAAGTATATGAGTTTTATTTTTTAAAACTTACGAAGGTGGATGTTTAGTTTGTGATATGAATTGTAAGTATATTCAATATAATTTTGTAGTGTTATTATTATACTAATTTTGTACATTAAATATAACTAATGAAAAATAGTATCTATATTCAATTTAAAAAGTTAGTAGGTTAGACTCAAAAGGTAATTTAAGATTAAAAAGTTTGCCCTGTTTCATAAAAGATTTTAGTTTAAACTGAAGTCGATTTAAGTTAGATCATACTTTTTTTTTCATTGGTCTCACCTTATTTCATTAGTAAAACTAAATTTAGATTTCTTAAATAACATTTAAAATTTGATTATTATAGTTTAAATATACATAATTAAAAAAAAATTAAAGACTGTTAAAATTTCTTACAAAGATTAGTGAAAATTTTTTTTACGTGCACAAACCAATTTTTCTTTTTTTACAAGCTATTTAACTTCATTTGGCCTTATAAAAAAGTATAAAAGTGAAAATAAAAATAATAAAAATAAAAAATACAAAAAATTATTAAAATATAATTGAAATAAGTCACTAATCGTAAATAAAGTATTGATTAAAACAAATAAACTTATCTAAAATATTAATTAAAAGTAAATAAATTCATATGAAATATTTATTATATTTTAAATATATTAATTGTATTAAAACATTGACTATATCATATTAATTATAAAAGTAGTGTAAAATAAAAGAAATAAACTATTAAAGTATAATTAAAATAAGTCAATAAACTTAAATAAAGTATTTGCTAAAATAAATAAGCTTATCTAAATTTAATAAAATACAAATAAATTTATGATGTTCATTATAGTATATAATATTAATTGTATTAAAACATTGAATATATCAAATAATTTTAAAATTAATAAATTAATTTAAAAATAAAATAAAAAGAATGGCATCAATTTCCTATGTTCAGTATATCTTTCATCAAAATAATAAATTACTTGCTCTTTATATTTTTTTTTACTGCTCCTATAAAAAATTTCCTTATTTGTGGTCAATTTCACCAAGGTATCGGCCCAAGAAAATAACTGGACATTGGCCCAAGTTATTATTTTCTCAATGTTTATAATTTATCCAGGCCC